AGAAATCACAACAGGCTGAACTAATGGGCCAAATCTGAAAAGATGAAATTTAATAAGAATAAGTATAAGGCTCCAGACTTGCCCAAGGGTAGTAAGAAGCAGAACCAGAAGGAGAAATTCATTTAAAAAAAAAACTACATAAACATAGCATGGGAAAAAGAGGACTGGGTAGACAGCCCCTCCTATGGAAATGATATTAGAGTCTGAATGGATTTTAAATTCTGTAGGAGTTGACAGTGTGACATGACAGCAAAACAATAACAAAATGTCTTGGGCCACACTGAGGCTTAGTATTCATGAAGAAAGAGGTCAGAGGTCAGCTGCCTCTGTCCTCGTCAGACCATACTTGGAGTACTGTGTTTGGTTCTGACACCACATTTTAGGAAAACCCTCAGCATACTGAAGTGTATTCAGAAGAGGGAGACCAGGAAAAAAAATCATAGAAAAGAAAAGCCTGGCACATGAAGACCAATTCGTTGTTGGCTATGTTTAGCCTGGAAAAAAGACGACTTAGATGGGACACCACGGCTGTCTTGAAACATTTGTATTGTTATCATATGGAAGAGAGTTAGACTGATTCTGTTTGGTTGCACAGGGCAGAACTAGGAGCGGGGAGGGGAAAATGGTGAAGAGGTAGCTTTAAACTCAATGTTGTGAGATCTGAAGAACAAGGACTGTTTCTGGGGTTTTGGCTGTTGCTACCGTCATTGTTGTTGGCATTGTTGGCATTTCTTTGTATCTCCAGCACTTAGTACAAAGCCTGGCATATAGCAGGCACTTAGATGTTAGATGCCTCACTGACTCAATATAAGGGAAAATGTCTTTGCCATCAGAGCTGCCCCACCCTCCAAGTGGAACAGGCTGCTCTGAAAATGAACGAATCTTCTTGTCACTGAAAGTCATAAGCCAGATGAGCATTTGTCAGAGATGCTGCAGGGGAGTTTCTGGTCAGATACATTAGACTAGAAAACACTGGATGTCCCTTCTGGATCTGAAATTCTGTGGTTCTATACATGTCTCTTTATATCATCTAATGAAGTCAGCACAGTACTGGGCACACAGATCCTCAGCAAATACCTAATTTAATTTGCCAAAGTATTATAAAATACTTTAAGACAAAGTATCATTTGGGACTAGATTATATTCCCATAACATAAGAAAAAAATATAATATAGGAAGATATTAAGAAAAACGCAGTTTTAAAATTTGGGGCCTTATATTTCATATTTTTGTATGCACATCAAAAGCTTATTGATTTGGTGAATCATTTCAAGATTTGCTCAAGATTTTGGAAGTTCAACTTCAGTAGCAATGAAAATAACATTTTCCTGGCATTGGACATTTAATTTCCAAGACAGAAGACTAGACATGCCTCTTTCACAGAGATGGCTCTGTTTATCTGGTGGCCTAAAACAGAGTTGTAATTTCAGCTTATTATACTAAAAATATGAAAATAAAAACGATCTCTAAAGGGTCATCTTAAATGAGAATAACTACCTGTGGGTAAACAGGAAAACAAACTGATTAAAAGCTGCTATAAGGCTGTAGGTAGGGAATTAGATGGAGTCAGGTCCCAGGTAGCATTATCCTTTCTCCTTGAATTTAATGCTCGAAGACCTCTATAGGAACAGATATTTTACAGGAGTTTAAATATATAAGAGTAAGAATCAAGTCCCTAGCTTGGAGGGAGACCCTATTTTTCTCCCACCCTAGTTTCAATGACCACTAGAAAACCCTATCTCCACTTCTGGATTGAGACTACATTCAATTATATTCAATTTAGCACTTCAATATATATTGCTTTCCGTTGTTTTCTGATAGCTTCTTACGTAAAGTCAGTGTCCCCAGCTTGATTGTAAGCTCTTTGAGGGCAGGATCGAAGTCAATATATACATTTGTATCATTCACTTATATTAATCTTGGTCCAGAAGTAGGTACTCTGGAACGATGAATTGAATTACATTGGCCTCACAAATTTCTCCAAGCCAAGGAATACGGGAAATATAGAAATGCAAAGCTAACTCTGCAGACGAGGGCTGAAAATATAAAACTGCTATTTCAGAAATGAACATTGTGCTCTAGGACACCTCAGTCTTCTTCTTGATCATGGCTTATCATGTCAAGATTCTCTCCCCATCAGCCCCTTCCCCCAAAGGAGGGGCAAAGAGAAGGAAGGAGGAATAGAGAGAGGGAGGGGAGAGTGAGAGGTAAAAGAAGGGAGGGAAAGAGAGGGAGGGAGAGGGACAGGAAGGAGAGGGAGGGAAGGAATCCACAAAAGCAGAGGTTATGCCTTCTAATTCTATGGTATCTTTGTCTTTCAGGTGCATGCCTTCAAAACTTTGGGTGATAAACAAGGATTGCTTGAACAGGCGGCCCAGAAAACGATCAAAGAAGAGTCACAACCAATGTCACAGAAGGGGACCAACAAGGGAACCTTTTATGCTAAATGTGATTCCCAATAACAGAAAGAAAGGAATGGGGTGCTAAGGTGAAAATGATGGAAACATTGAGAGGAATTTAACCACTGCCTCCTGTAGTTAGTGACAGAGAAGAAAGGCAGGCACAGGCTGGCATGCACCCTAGATATGGAGAAAGCAGATTTCAAAGGATTAATAGGAAAGCTAGATGGGATGAAAAACAATCAAGAATGAAATGCTAAAGACACAAATGGAAACAATTCCCACAAGGACAGAAGACAGGAATTGTCTGATGAGACCAATGTGGATGCACAAGGAGTTCCCTGCATAGATGAACTCACACCTTCTAAGTCAAGCTTAGTATGAGTCAGCAAAATGATGTGGCAGCCAAAAAACTTTAATTTTCTTCACCTTGGGCTATATTAAAAAAAGATTTCACAGATAATCCCTTGATGCTTTGCCCTGGCCAGACTATAGCTGGAGGACTCTTTGCTGTTCTGGGTATTCTGGGTGAAAGAGCATTGGTGAGCTAGAAAAGCATCCAAGGAGGGCCACCAGGAAGGACAGTGAAGGGTCCTGAATACCTGGCATACGTAAGGAACAACTGAAAGAACTTGAGTTTGGCGAAGAGAGGAGTCACAGTGAGGGAAACGATGTGAAGTTTCTCCTTAAGTATCTGAAAAGCTACCACGTAGAAGCAGAATTATACTTGATCCTAATGGGCAAAACCAGGAGCAGTGGAGGTAAGTTGCAAAGAAGAAAATTTAGACTTCTTAACAATTAGAGCTGTCCCAAGGTGGAATGGACCATCCTAGCACAGAGTCAGTTGCCCCTCTTTGGTATTTCTCAAGCAGAGTCTGGACAAATAGCCCCCACCTTAGTTCAGGACTTAATCACCTATCACCTGGACGACTGAAAGGGCTTCTTAATTGGTCTCCCCGCATCATCTCTCCCCGCTCCAGTCCTTCCTCCAAATAGCTGCCAAAGGAACTTTCTTTAAGCACAGGGATCACACATCCTTTCCCCTACTCAACGAATTCCAGTGGTTCCCTATTGTCCCTCAGATAAGATATAAGCAACTCTGTTTGGTCATTAAAGTTCTTCACAACTTGGTTTCAACTCACTTTTCCAGCTTCATTATAGTTAACTCCCAAGAAAACTGGGTTTCTTGCTCTTTCTCCTACTTTCTCATTCTCACCTAACACTTCCTCTTCCATTAATATACATTTGCACTTGGTCATCCTCCATAGCTGGAATACACTAGCTCTTCACCTCCTCCTGGAGAATCCCTTACTTTCTTCAAGCTTTACCTTCTACACATGAAGCCTTGCTTGACCCCCTAATGGTAGTATCCAACCTCTCTAAACTAACTGTATTTATTTTGTATATACTTAAATATGAACATCTCCCCTAGCAGAATGCAAACTATTCAAGAACATGGGCCACCTAATACATGTCTCACAAGTACCAGATGCTTAATAAATACTCAAAGACTGATGGAGAAGGCTGAAAGTCTTTGTGAACCATCACTTGAATGGCAAGCTAATTCTCATAATGGGAATGTAGGGCAAGAAGGGAAAGTAGGAGAATGTAAGCTTTTTGAGAGCAAGGTTATGTTTTGGCTTTGTAGTGTCTTCCACATAATAGACCCTTAATCAATGATTGCTGAACTGTATTGTTGAAGGGAAATTTTCAGGAAAGACGTTGTTGTTCAGTTGTTTCTTTCAGTCACGTCTGACTCTTCTTGACCCCAACACTATCAGACCACCTCCACAATGCAGGGATGTCATGAAAGAAATGGGTGACTGTTCCTTTCAAATGCTGAAATATATCTTGATACCTGACCCTGTTTTATTCCTTCAACAGATATCTATTGAGTCAGTCTACTATATGAGCAGCTCAATTCCATAGAAACGTCCCAGGCTCTACTGCTCAGTGGTGTCACAGGTATTACTAACAGGCCCAGGTGGAAGGCGAAACAACAAGGTAACAATTCTTCCCGAAGGAAATGCCTTTATATTTCAGCAACTTGCCTTTGGGCACTAGGCTTCTAAACAGGTGGAAGAAGAGAAGCCCTTTAAACTCCCTTTCACTCTCTCTCTGCCCAGTCCCAAAGCCAAGGCCAGATTCTCACTAAAGAAAATTCTACCTTTCCCTAAAGCTGGGCTCCCCCCCATCACTCCCCCCATGCCCCGACTGATACCACAAGGCTAGAGAAGACTGACGCCCAGTGAGAACAGAAAGTGTTGGGACAAAAGAGCTTTGCCCTAGGGGGATGAGAAAGGATGGGGTGGGGAAGAAACGGAGGTCAGGGAAACAAACACCTGGCTGGCTTCAGGGTCCACACTGAGCACTCCTCGGGCCAGCTGCGTGCCTGGGGGGGGGGGGGGCGGGGGGGGGCGGGAAGGGGGGAGCCAACCACAGCTGGCGCGTTCCTCGTTGCAGCTCCCCCCGCCCCGCTCCCGCCCCACTGTACTAGAGCCGGCCCAGGATCCAGGCCCCTTCCCCAGTCCCGGCTGCACACATAGCCAGCCTGGGCCCCAGGCCCGGGCGCAGCGCCTAGCACGTCCTCGGCTGCCTCACCTCGCTCACCAGTCCCTGCCAGTCGCTCTCGGTCCGATTGAAATTCATGGCCTCATCCATGCGTGAAGCAGCTTCATCAATAACCTCCTCCCCCGCCCTGGCTCCCTTCCTCCCACCCCCAGCCCCAAGTGGCCTCGGCGGGCACTGGAGAGGGGCGCGGGAGGGGCGGGCGCCCGCACACCAGCGAGACTGGCCCCACTCCCCGCGCCGCTACCGCTTCCAGCTGCCACTGCCCGCACTGTTTACCCAACGTCAGCCTTAGCGTGAGGAACGGGAGGAGGAGCTCGAACCGGAGCCGGAGCCCAGCCGGAGCTGCTGCTCCCCTCAGGGCACAGGCACTTGCCTCCCTCCTGCCTAACCCGCCGGGGCTCCCGCAGCCAGAGGCCCCGCGTCTTCAAGGCCGCTCACTGCAGAGGTGGCTGCCATCCCCATTGGGTCTGGGGGCGAGACTCCATCTGCATCCCCCAAGTTCCGCGTGCAGCCACCTCTGGGGTGGGCAGCAGATGGCTTGGCCTTAGCCAGGGACATAAAGCGAGGGCCTTCGGGTCCTGCCGACACGGCAAAGACAGTGCGTTCTTATTTGGCATTTTTTGTTGTTAACAGTCACGATACTAACAAGACGAGTCTATGGACTCAGGTGGATTCGCCTTTTTTAGATAATAATGTTCAATCATCTTGGTTAATGTTTAGACTATCCTCCCCCGAGACACCCCTTATCTTCATTCTACTCTGGGACTGCATTATTTAAAGGATCCAGAAAGAAGGTGGGGAAGTTCAGCATAAATCCATTTCTAGATGGAGGAATGGAGCTACAATTCAAGAAAACTGATCCTGATTGCCAAACCTACTTTCCAGCTGAAAAGAAAGACTGAGATGGGGCATGCAAAATCCCAGGGAACTCTGAAGAAAGTGGTAATTTCTGAAAGAAACTGGCTTCATTCATAGGCCCTTGTGCCAAATCCCCTGGTGGAGCCCAGAATCAGTCAGGGACCTTGATTAAGCACTCACATTTAGATAACATTTTAAGGTTTACAAAGTGCTTTCCTCACAACAACCTGGGGAGGCAAATAATGCAAGTATTTTTGTAGCGTTTATACTGTGAGAAACTCTCAGGGTTGAAAAATTCTTCCACCTAGGCCAATGCAACTTACCTCTACTTTGTAGTCTTAGAGAGTTGCCTGGGACCCAGAAAAGTTAATCAATTTATTAAGTACCTACTACGAACCAGGCATTGTGCTGGACGTTGGGAATACAAAGACAAAAATGAAACAATCTCCACCCTCAGCAAGCTTGTGTTCTATTGGAAGAAACTACAGGAACACATAAGTACATACAAAAATCATCAAACAGCATATTAAGAGAGGGAAAACCTGAAATCCCTGCCCCCCAGGAGCTGACATTCTAATTCTAAATGGAGACCACATGCAAATAAACTTTGTAAATACAAGCTACATAACAAGATGTTCCAAAAGTCTTGGTGCAGTTTTAAGCTTTTAAGTTAGTATAGCTATAATATATTATGTATACTTGTAAAACATATAATATATAACCTGACATTATATATTGTTATATGACATATATTATTACCTATTATATAATATATAGTATAGCTATAATAGCTTTAAACTGCACCAAGATTTTTGGGACATCCTGTATAGTATACATGGGAGATAAATACAAGATCATTTAGGGGAAGAAGCACAGGCAGCTGTGGGAATCAGGAAAGGCCTTATTTCAGGATGTGTATTGGAGCTCATATTTAGAGAAAGCTCTTTTAAGCAATTTACCCATGGCCTCACCCTAGTGTAAATATTACCTACATTTTATAGATACTTTCATATCTATTGTTTCATTTGTTCCTAACGACAACCCTGAGAAATAGGCAGAGCAGGGAATATTATCTCATTTACATATGTCTGTTTCCTCCAAATGCATCCAATCTATCCTGGGGTGGATGGATGGATGGATGGATGGATGGATGGATGGATAGATAGATTTATGAAGCACTTACTATGTGCCAGCCACTGTACTAAGCTCCTGTCCACATCCTCCCAAAATCCTGGGTTGGGGTTGGTGCTGGGTGCCTTCCTCTACATTTCTAGGCATTGGGTGAGTCAAAATGGAACACACAGGCTGACCATTGGTTATCTGTCTCATCACTAAACTGACCAACTTCCTTTTCTGTTCATACTTTTGATGACTTCCTTTTTGCCCCTTCTATATAATTCTGCCTTTGTAATATGTTGCAGCCTACTCATATCTAATACATTTCCATTGCCTTTGGGGTGACTTCCTAATTATTCAAAGACTCTGGTATTCTATGATGCACAGCCATACAATATCACTAAAAGAAGTATGGAGTTGTTAAAAGTCATTAGAATGTGAGGTCCTTGAGAGCAGGCATCATATTTTGCCTTTGCATATCCAAGGCTTAGTACAGTACCTGGCACACTGTAGGTACTTCATAATAAATGCTTGTTGATTGACTCACTAAAAGAACTGCTCAATTTTTTCAAGGCAATCCAGCCTGTTCAATTCTGGCCCAGTTCAGTCACACTACCTGAAGTGTCTGTCCAAGGTCTGTCTGTCTGCCTGTCTGTCTGTCTATCTATCTATCTATCTATCTATCTATCTGTCTATCTACTGATGAGTCAACTTTATGGGCTGTCCATCCAACTTCAATATCACTGTCTGAAAAAAAGCAATTCTTCATCCTCTTGGGTTTTACTGTGTGAATTGTTAGGCTTTTGTGATTATGGGTTTCATTTTGTTATTTCATCTTTCAAAGATACTTATATGATTTTGACATATTTGTGGAAGATGTTTTTTTGGAGGCAGCCTGTAAAGTAGCTTTTGACTCTTTGGAAGGAAATGGGTTTTTTGAATAATCAATAAACAAGCATTGTGTGGGATTTTATATTTTCTACAGTTTTCAGTCACCTGTGTGACTCTACTGGGGTGATCTGCTATAGAATATTATTTGAGAGAGCCTGCCTTTGTGGTGTGGTGGCAAGAGCACTGGACTTAGTATAAAAAGACCTGTGGAAAAATCCTGTTTCTAATATGTCATATCTATGTAAGCTCAGGCCAGTCTTTTAACCTTGGGCCTCAGTTTCCTCATCTGTAAAATGAAAGTACTGGACTAGATAGCTTTTAAGGTCCTTTCTAGACCTATGTCAATGATCTTTTTCATACTTTCATCAAAGTTGTCTTTGATCAGTCTTATAAAGATTTTTACAGAAATGGCAAAGTAGAAAAAATGATTAGCACAATTAATTATTTTTTTGCCTTTTATTTGTAATAATCAGGCAGATCAAGTTCTGATTTAACCTGATTATTCAGGGGCCCACAGCTGATAAGTGGCAATGAAAATGCTAGAAGCCAGGTTTTTTAGCTCCCAGAATAGTGTTCCTTCCATTATTCCACCTGGCCTCCTGAAACCATCAAAGGGATTTTACAGGTTAACTGGGATCCTAACAGTTAACACAGGCAATGTTGAGGGAAAAAAAAAAAAGAAAGAGAAATAAACACTTCAGCTAACAATCTGACATTTCATATTTAAAAAGCAAATTACATTCTTCCTCTGAATCACTCTCTAATAACCCATCAGGTTTAGTTTTGACCTGTGGTCCTGAACTTTTAGACTGAGTAAATGTAAACTTGTCCATCTGTCACTTACCAGCTGTGACCCTAGGAAAGTACTTTAACCTCTCTGCATCTTAATTGATGTTTTTTCAATCTTAAATAGGGACAATGATGCTTAGAGAATCATAGCATTATAGTGCTAGGTTTCTTAAAGATAATTTAGTTTAAGCCTTTCATTTTACAGAAGAGCCAGGTGTGACTCAGGGAGATTATAAGATTTACCCAAAGTTTGTTAGTTTGTTAGTAACAGAACCAGGATTAGATCTCAAGTGTCCTGACTCCTCATCCATTCTCCTAATTCATAGTCTAGTCCTTTTTTTGCTGTATTTTGCTAAAAATTAGAACTGAAAGGGACTCCCTTATTTTAGCAATGAAGAAATTTGGACCCAGAAAAGGGGAATTAATAAACTACCTACCTACCTGCAAAAGGGCTAATAAGTGAAAGTGCTTTGTAACCACAAAGTGCTAAATAAAAGTGAATTATTATAATTATTATTCTGCAACAGCTTCCTCACTCCCACGAAGAAGGGGGGTGTCCTCAAGAAAATTGTGAAAATTTGTCTTTGACCTTTTCCCTATTTGTCTCTTCTCTCTCTCCTGTCCCTTAAAGAAACATATCCTTTGTCCCATCAAGGGCCTTACTCTCTAGGCTATCTATCAAATTGGAAAGTAATCTCCCCCAGGATGTTAGTTATTGAAGGTTTTAAGGTATTGCTATTCATGAACCTTTAAGACCCAAAAGAATATCTACCTAATGGTAGAATTTTTGACAGACAATTTGGGGATGAGGAAACTTCCAACAACACCACATAAATAACTACGTTTCTTCTATCTATAAGAAAGACAACTTAGGGGGCAGAGCCAAGATGGCAGAGGCAAAGCAGTGACTTTTTTGAGCTCTCCCCCCAAACCCCTCCAAATACCTATAAAAAATGACTCTAAACAAATTCTAAAGCAGCAGAACCCACAAAAAGACAGAGTGAAACAAATTTCCAGCCCAAGACAGCCTGAATGGTTGATTGGAAAGGTGTATCACTCCTGGCCGGGAGAGGAGTGCAGCTCGGCGGTGGCACACAGGCCGCAGCGACCCTGGAGCAGGCCTCAGCGGACTGAATTTCAGGCAGCTGTGGCGGTTTCCAGACTCCTCAACCCACGAATGCCAAAGACAACTTGGAAGGTCAGTGGGAAAAGTCTGTGACTGCAGTGAGAAAAGGAGGTAGGTCTCAGCCACCTCGAGGGCAGCGCCTGGCTCCTGAGCTTCCGGCCCACAGACTGAGGGGGAATCAAGTGGCTGATAAGAGGGGGATTGCAGGGATCTCTTTGCCAGTGCTGAGGCAGGAATCTCTTGCTTTACCAGTGCTTGGATCTGGGTCACAGTTCTGAGAGGTGGTCCTAGGGTGAGGAGCAATGCTGGTGTGGTGAAGCTTCTTGTGGTGGTGGAGAGAAAACACCTCGACCCTG